GATCATCAAACTATACTCCAACGAAATTAAATTTCAACCCCACACGTCACCGTATTTAGTTTTCTCTTGCATTGGTGACTGGCTGCTGGTTGTGGGAACCTGTTCATTTGTCTCTTTCGTTACTGGAAGTTCTCTTGTTTTGGGAGTATACCACTGTTTATGTTTCTTATAGAATTCATCTCTATTTTGATGCCTCAATTCTTCGTAACTGGCTCCTTTTTGTATATTTATCGGTTCGGATAAATCTGTGTCCTCGGAAATGTTGAAATCACCTTTAAACATAATTTATACAATTATCATCACATAGTAGTAGATGTGTAGAAAATTTAACAATAATTTTTAACAACTCACTGTTGTCTGGATTAATACTGGAATACGTATCGTATGAATTCATCTGTGGGTAATCATCGAATACTATCTCTGTAGATGGTCCTGCTGGACTTTGAACTTCTGATTGAGAACCTTGATAATATAATGCCTCTCTATAAATAAAGATACATAAAACCTAGTTTTAACAAAAGAAATGTGGACAATCACGTTATCCAAAAGTAATACCTATGAGGAGCAACATTTCCAAAATAACCCGATTCCATCATTCTATCTCGAAGAGTACTGTTCGGCATGGAAGCGATTTTTGTTAGACATGATTTGGCAGCGTTTAGTCTACCTGTCATCAGACCTACCACACCACTGACTATGGCGATATATTTGGCATTTGCGCGAAATGGAGTTATCTTACATATCCCATATCCTATGGCTGCAGAGATGATTGATGGCGCGAGGATACTCGAGTTTTTCATGCATTGACGTAAGGCGTTTATCTCCTCTGGCGTCAACTCCAGTCCTCCCTGTAATTTGTGTGATTACGATTAGAGATAACCGTTATTACATGTATTTACGAATAAATAAAATGTACATAAAATAGTAAAAAAATTATCGCTTTGCTTTTTAATCCTAATCAACAAATTATGTAATATATATTTATATTTTTCGACTGTAATAAATCTTGCATATTAAACACAAGAATCCTAACCTGTCTTTGATATTTAGGATAATCAGGTTGCTGTACATCTGTTATTACGGCACTCGTCATGTTTCGCGAGTTTCCGGCAGAAATTCACTCGCACATTAAATTCGAAAAATCTATATCTCGCAATCTATTAGTAATCACAAATGCCTCAACATAAATAATGATATACGTATAAATATATTTGATAATTTGTGATAACCATGCGTCGAGCAAAACTGAGATATCATCTATGCAGTTTATTAGCTGCACCTCCTGATTTAACATTCGAACAGATTTCTTCTTAAACTGTTGTCGATAAAAAAATACGTTTCTTTCTTTTTCTCTCTCTTTCTCTCTTCTCATTTTATAATAATTTTTATAATAAAGTTAAAAAATCATTTGTAATAAAGTCCGATTGCATCAACATTACATTAATTTAATTTAAGCGAGGCTTAAAATTCTCTCTATCTCTGCCTCTCTTTCTTTCTCTCTTTTAAAACTAGATAGATAGAGTTTTAAAGCTTAAAGTCGAAATAACGCAATTGATACAACCGGGCCTAAGACATGTAGTTGAATTATGTATTTAAACAAAAAAGTTACTTTTTAATTATCACGAACTGATTTTTTTCTACTATTCTTCCTTTCATTGTTATGTATACATTTTTAATAATTTTTGTAATAAAATTAAAAATGTGTAATATTAAAATTTGTAGTTAAAAGTTATGTCTTTAATAAATAGAGATTGTTGTTATTATTCTAAACTAAAACTTTCTTTATATTCCTCCTTTCATCTAATATTTTTTTCTCAATTATAATAATTCTTTATAAATATGTACGTGCATACACTTGTTGAGTATTGCTGATGTAGGTACATTGATGTTTAAAATAGTATTTACTATTAGATACCGGATATTATTTTTGCAGGATGCATATATGCAATATGCGACCGTATATCCAAATGACGCGATTTGTTTGCGTAACCACGTTAATTCAATTATCACGTTTAAGACGGTAAGATATAAAGACAAAATTAGACGGAGTCTCATTGTTTTAAAAAAATTTAACTTCTTTCGATATTACTTTTATGCTTCATCCAAGTATTTAAAATTAAAAGTATATATAAGAAATTATGCACGTCTATTAAAATTTATATCAAATAATATTAGAAATCAGGGGGAATATTATTATATCAATATATATCTAATATTATAATATTAATCAATATATGTATATATAATATAATATTATAATAATATAATATCAATATATAATTTATTGCGCATTAAGAAGAATATTTTGCTTGTCTACAACGTCACCATGAAAAATAAACATTTTACGTAAACACATTTGGGATTTCCTCGAAAACCTTGAACGAATTATCAGTAACATTTTCATTAACAAACTTGTCGCAGGAAAACTTGTGCAGCGCAATTGCATATAATTTGCACGCATGACTTTCTATTTAATTTTCTGTTACGTTTCTAGAAATTAATATAATTTTTTATATCTTTTTTATTTTTTATATTTATTAATATAATAAATAATATAATTTTTTTGCGAAAAATTAAATTGAAATTTTCATATCAGCCATTTTTATACAAATAAAATTTATATTCGTCGAAATTCAAGAGTTGCATCGTTCCATGCGCAATCAGGAAATTTTCCATCTGCCACTTATGAACCAATCGAGAATACGTAATGCAAAAGTATCTACGTATAAGTCACGATGGTGTTAATGAGAGACAAATGTCCATCACTATAAAAGTCGCGGTCGAATTCGCAGACTTGTATAACTTTAAAATGTCGCGCATCACTTCACATCTGCCTCTCTGGTCAACTTACATCGCGCTCTTATTATTTACATTAATTTTAACATCGATGACGTTGCAACAAGTGGGTGCCAGTCCTCTCCCAGATTTAATAAATAATCATGAGAATTCGACAGAAATTTCGACGGACATCACGACCAATATGACCGACGTGTAAATCTCTTTTAATATTCTTTAACGTATAATATGTGTATGTATAATTTTGCTGTAAACGTTTTTTACCGTCTTCAGATACGTGATAAAAGCTATAGTTTACGAAATTGGAATTCTTGCGGATGAAGATAATACAACGATCAGCGAAAGCACCGAAGGGTAAAACATTTTATTTTATTCTTTGCTTCCCTGCATTTCACTTTTCATTTATCTGAAGGACGTCCAGGATTGCATTCCAAAACTCTTGAGAAAAACAGTTGACTCATGAACTAGTATTCGTAGGCGGTTCTTATTTTAAGATCTGTCTTAAGGGGTCATATACATTTTTCTTAAGCTTAAAAAAATCGATTTTTTTGGCCTATTTTAAAAGGTACATATCTTAGAAACATTTTAAGATCAGATTGACAAAAAATTGTTCATTTTATCGCACTTAAAGCTCTTGCAAAACTTTAAACGCGTTTTTCTCGAAATAGCATTTTTCAGAACGATCGGCATAATAACTGCCTCATCATTCGTCCGATTAATTTCATTTTTGGGATACGTATTCTAAATTAGATTCGCTCGTGTCACGAGGGCTTTTTTAAATAAATTTAACCATTTTCGAATAGCAATAAAAAAATAGATATTTTTTTGTGAAAATAACGACTCTTTTCTTCAAATTGTGACTCCAATGTCTTTTTTTTTAATTCCTCTCGTCATACAAGAATTACGATTCTAAAAGGTGATAAAAAATCAAAAATTTTTGTTTCACATAAATATTAGGAGCTGAATCATGCCCACCATTTAATAAAAAAAAAACGTACGCCATTTTTTGGTTTGTATATTTGTGCATATGTTTTATGTTAATTAAAAGTGCATCTTTAAAATAAAAAAAAAAATCAATCAATCGGCCCAATAATTTTCTTACAATCTCTCGTCTTTTAACTATTTTTCAAGTCCGAGAATCGTATAGATACTAATATGGCTATCTTTTTCTTCTTCTTGTTTAAGATGGTCTTGAAATAAAAACCGATTATTATGAATTAATTCTTTTACTCAAAGTAAAGTTTTGAAACGTACGTGGACAATTTAATAAGTCAGTGACTTTTTAAAAGAAGGCTTTATTGAAAAATAAGTCAAATTTTGATTTTTAAAAAATAAAAAAGAAATAGTCCCGGGAACGTCCTTAGGACGTAGGACCATCTTAAGAACTCTTGTTCTTGGGAGGTACGTTCCCATTAAAAATGAAAGCCACACTTACTTTCGAACAATAATTTCAACGTGGTCTTTTTTTGTTTTACAGACAAGAAAAAATCAACATATCATGGTATAATTTACCGCAGGAAGATGAATTCTCCTAATCTTAACAAACTTTTTTTTTATCGGAGCGAGTACGACAGAATACGGGGTATTCTATCATACATCTAAACGCATTTATGGATCCAGAGCAAAAAATAAAGTGTGAAACATAAAGACTGTGCATACACGACTCGGGATAGAAGTATAGTAAATTATTAATTATATATCGTATAAAATATAGAACGTAAAGAAAACGCAGAATGCGATGTACGTAATTTATAAATTTCGATATTAAACTAGTAATGCTGTGACACGTGTGTTTTCTTAGGATTTAGAACAATGTTTTATTAGCTTTTTTTCATTTAATTATGAACAATATCTCGTGTACAACGCTATAAACACATTGCTGCTGCAAAGTCTGCGAGGCAGAAGAAAGTCGTGGAACAATCAGGTAACATAATTCATAGAATGATCTCTCGAAGAATGATGGATATACATAAGGTAGCTCAATCGAAGCATGCGCGACGCTTTGACATTAGTTCCTGTTTATTCAATTTAACTATTCACTTCTGGAAGATCTTGATGAAAGACTTTTAACGTCGCTTAAAGATACGTATAAATCTTTCCTTTTTTTTTTGTTATTTCGGAATGCAAATAAGTGCGCAAGTTCGTCAAGAGCTTTCGATTAATATGATGATATCATGTACAAATTTCGACTGATTATTACGACAAAAGGTAATAAAAATACTCTCGATTTTCTCTCTCCTCCCTTTTTTCTGCTCGTATCGTTGAACTAACATACACTCAGTTAAACAGTAGGCACTGCACCTAAGTACCTTTGCCTTATCGAAGGAATAAGCAAAAGCACCAGTTTGTGAAATACCGGTCTTATATAATATTAAACAGCGTTACGATAACTCTTTTCTCTTATGTTTCTCATCCGCTTTTTTAATATATAAACATATAGTAAATGTTCTGTGTATGTGTGTGTTCGTCTATGTGTAAAAAAATTAAATGTCACGAGTGGAGCAAGCGGATGCGAAATTTATCCATCATTTCTTTACAAATTGTCTATATGTATCGCACAAAAATGTTGCGATTTGTTCTCTCCATTCTTCGCTCCCTTTGTTAGAAATCAGTTATCAGTTACGTATAAATAACAATTTACGAAACTCTTAACAATAATTGTAAAATATACGGGACAGAGGGAGGACTTGATTTTCGTAGGGATACTTATAGATGTTGGCCATTTAAAAGGTGAGGTAAAAAGGGGATGGGATATACCTATATATAATAAACATCAAATTATTCGCTAAGTAGTTGAGCGTCAATCATTTTTCGGCATTCCGGATTTATTTTAAGAGATACCCTGCAACGGGACCATAATGTACCCATCAACGTTTTCTTAAAGCATAATTAACGTGGTGTCTAATGAAAAATAGAGAAGGCGCAATATGCATCCGATCAATCGTTTACGACTCGATACTGATATGATTCTCTCTCTCTCCTTCCCCCTTTCCCCCTCCTATTGCCATAGATCATTTAACATAGATAAGGGGGAACGTTTCATTTAGCGTCTTTAGGCACCATTATGGCGTCAACAGTGCTAGTGGATGTATTTTCCAACGAAGCGGCTGGAACTTGTTCAATTGACGACTTTTCATTCTCTACATTCTTCGTGTCCTTTACGGTTTCGATCTTCTCCGTGTCCTTAAAATCTCTGGAAGAAACAAATTTTTCAAATAATCTATTTTAGATTGGACAAATTATGTAATTATTATTACGCTAACTATTATTATGCTATATACGTACCTACTGACCGATAACTCGCTATTGACGTTCTCATTCGCGGAAATCATCTTGTGCTCATTACTTTTACTATCATTGAGATTAATTTCCTCAGCTGGCAACTTCATCTCGACTATTTGACTATCTACATAGTCTGTGCTCTTTTCGTTACCATCGCCAACACTTTCGCTACAAGTTATATGCTTTTCCGTTAGATTTACAGCTGTAGCTTCTGATATTTTCTCTTTAAGTTCATCGCACGGCTTTTTCTCTCCGCTCACGGTGTTCTCTATACTCAAAGTATTTTCGAAATTTTCGAAATTGGCCCAGCCAGTAGATTCTATTGGTTCCGACGGTGCCACATCCCATGGATTGACTGGTGGAAGTATAGTGTTTGGTGGTTCGGTATTGTTCCAAGCTAAAATTACATAAGCTATTTCGATAAAATTTCGAACTTTTTTTTTAATCAATTAATATAAGAATTTTTTATAGAAACATACGATCTGTCGTTTCGATCTCCATATTCATGTTGCGTGGTTCCTCCTCCGACGAACTGGAATCCTCCGACGAATTAGAATCATCCGATGAACTAGAATCCTGATGTTGTTGCTTTGAATGCCAATCCCGTTTGTCCACCACGGTCTGGAACGTCAGTTCGCCCTCATCTCCCCATTCTAAACCACTGCCGCAATCCTCAAGCCCGGCTTTTTGTTTTTGTTGGCACAGCTTTAATGAAAAGTTTCCAATTTTTTTCAATTTCAAATATAATATAACGTATTCGATAACAGTTGAATAGATATTGATATCTACCTTATTGAACATATCTTCCCGCTTGTCGAGATCTTCTTCACTGAGATTAAAGGCCAACGTTGTTAATTGGTCAACTGGATTACTATAATATCATACCTCTTAACGAAAACAGTGGGGAGAGAAATGACTATGACAATATTAAGGTTGCGTTCTTCTCACGCGTGTTCTTTCTTGATTCTTGTAAATTTTATGATCGCAGACCTAGTAATGCTATATTTTTTAATGAAATCTCGCGTCTATACTTACTGAAGTGCATCATCACCATCATTAAACTCATCGTCGTGGAATCCAAAATTCTCGATGAACGGAGGTGTTATTTGTTGACCCTGATAATTGGAGTACATCTAATACCAAGAATCCGCACGATAAATAAAAAACTAGATAATCTCAATTTATGTATCAATAATATATGAATAACCGCTAACCTGTTGAATGTATGTCTCTTGCGAGTAAGAATTGTATTCATTTGGATTTTCCTCGGAGCTCATCAGGTACACATCAGGAGTTTGATCACCCTAAAAATTTCATTATAATTAAAAGTTGTTGCTTTCTCATTGCAGTCATATTAAATTACGATATACAATGAAAAAAATTTTTTGTTATAAATTATTATAAATGAATGAGTGATATTACATGTTATTTCTAAATCCGTAGAAGCAATATACTTACAAGAAAAAGAAAAAAAATAAGAAATATATGTCACATTACTACATACCATCATTACAGTTTGATGAATTTTATTAATTTCCACCAACTGTACACTCACAAGATTTTCCCATCTAGTAAGACACTCGGGTGATACATTGTTCTTTAAGAAGCTGGTCAGTATATTATTTTTTTCGCACTGAGTGACGATATTGTTCGCAATATTTATTAAATGTCCCATGTAGCCTTGACGAACACCATTTTCTTTGTTTCTGCAATCAAATCTCGAAGTTATAACCCTAAATTCTCTATTGCAATATATGCGAAATATTCCGCTAAATTTAATACTTTTGGTAATCTTACTGTTTACTCTCGTTTTTATCCCATGCTTCTAAGATTCTTTCTATTAATTTGCACTTGATAAATATCTGTAAATTAAGACGTTCAAATTATTTAACGTATGTTCTTTTGCGTCATAATTTATTTCTATATTATAAAAGATATAACTCACATTATTATAAATAATATCATTATCCCGTTGTCCGCAATTAATAGCTAAGGCCAGGCACTGTTGTACTTGCGTATGTAAGAAATTATTCCAGGTATATTTGAAAAACAGATCCTATAATACATGTTTGGGTTAAGAATAAGTAAACAAAAGTAGACAATATAATAAAAACTCTTAATGATATTCTCATACTCATATAATATGATCTTACCAACAATGTTTGGAATGTTCCCAAAGTTTCTAAACTTTCATGAATCTTTAAATTCTCCGTCGCTAGTAAAGCACTTAATAACTTTGCTACATGCAAACGAGTATTGCCTAATGGACATTCTAGTAGTCCAACAGTTGTTTTGACGGCAGGTTTCTGAGTAATAAAAATTTTATCGTTTGTAAAATATATACTGAATAACATTGTTATATGTATATATATATAT